CTATGGAAGTCAATAAAAAATAGGCGAGATAGGTTGGTAGGACACCTTCTCAGGCATGAAGGTCTAGTCAGAGACATATTAGAGGCAGAAACAGGAGTTAGGAGGGGTAGACGTAGACCTAGGTTAAATTACTTTTCGCAAATAGTTAACGATGTGGGTTGTTCTAGTTTTAGCTCAGGATAGGAAAGAGTGGAGGTACGTGTCCAATCAGTCTTAGGACTGACGACCTTATGACGATGATGAAAGATACACAACACGTAACATTGGCGTATATGCCCTAATCTTTCAATGGATTTGAACTGTTCACTTTCAAATTGAAAGTATCTGAAAATAGTGAGAAATAAGAAAAAAAAATTAATTATTATTTGATTCCATGCTAGGTGGCAGACTTAGCTAATTTGGTCGATATTCAGAACTTGGTATATTTGCATACCAAGACTGTAGTGCCTTAGTACATGGTACAAATCTTGAAAAACTACTAAACATACCAAGAAATTGGTACATCTAACATCGTTGGTCCAAGATCCCAGAGCCGCTAGACATTACTTATTTTCTAAGTAACAAAACTGATGGGATAACATAGATATATACACTAGTATGTACATACTTTGAACGTTTCCATACCTGTCAAAAAAGGTATGTAAAAAAAATCCTAACTTTTCTTAAAGTCTAAGTGCTGATTTTTACAAAACGTTTCACGAAATATTGTAAAGTATGTGGCAGTGTTGATCATTAATTTTTAACAATATTTTGCATTTTGCAATCAGCACTCAGAGTTTAAGAAAAGTGGATAATGTTATACCGTATACTTAGTACCTCATATCTGCATGTTGATCGTCGACTCAAGTTAGTAGGTATGCATATGTTCAAAGTATCTCAACCATTTTGTTAGTCAGAAAATAAATAATGTCTAACGACTCTGGATCTTGCTCTATGTTGTTTTTTATACAAAAAACGCATCACTACCGATTAAAAGGGGATGTTTAGAGTTATTTATCTTGACACAATGAATTTCATTAATTTAAAAAACTTCATTAACATAGAATGTTGTGTGCTTTCGAAGGAGAAATCAACTGGCAGCGTTGCCAAGTTCAGTAGATAGAATTATCGCACTCTTTAGGAAAATTTATCGTATTAACATCAAAAATATCGTACGTTATTGCACATGCGCATCGGAGTAATAATCTAGTGGTAGGAGTATGAATTTGTAAGAAGAGTCTGTGTAGCCCAGTGGTTTTCTCAGTTCATCATAGATGAAACTATGAAAACTTTCCTGATAGGCTAATAACTTCAAATAGAAAAATGAATTTCGGAGGGATTTATCAACTATTCAACATGCATAACAATATTTTTTTTTATAATAAAATCTAATACAACAAATAACAACGTATTAATTCTGTTTTATTATTATATCGTCATCACTATCATCACCATTATTCTTATTATTATTTTTATAAAGATTATTCGAATTAAAACGAGATAACATTTCATCAGTGATCTCAAATTTATTGCATCCCCTATTCATTTCAATACACTGACTTGTAAGTAAAAGTCCGTTAACCGTCGCCAGTTTAGCAAGGAGAAGCTCTTAGGATCTACCTGAGAAGCTTTCGAGAATCAAAAGAGCCGAGTTTGCCCGGCTCTGTTGTAAATTAGAGAAAATTTGTATTATTATGGAGTGAAAATACCCAGAGGCTGTTCAAATGACCATTTGTTCTATTAACAAAAGATTTTAAGAAAATAGAAAAACAAGGCAACAGGTTAGCAGAAACAAATATCGCAGTTCCACTACATATTACTATTTGAAAATATTTTTTTATCTCATAAGCACGAATTATCATACGTTTAATGGAAATTTGAATTACGATATTGTACATCGTATTTGAAGCAAAATTATCGTATGTCCCCATAATTATCGTATAGGCTGGCAACGGTGTCAACTGGGTAGCTTTAGCACGTTCTTGACCTTTACTTTCAACATCAAGGTCACAAATTTACCTTTAAGTTCATTTGCAGGCTTAAATGGGAATTTGACCCCAGCAAAGGA